AAAAAAACAACCAAAGTAATTAGGCATTGGAACCAATAAAAAATTTAGCCCCCAAACTACCATCAAAGGGAGTATTTCACTGGAAAAACCACTTATTCAAAAATCTTTAAACGCTAATCACTACTCAAAAAAATCAAACATAGAAACACCACAATCAACAAAGTTAGTACATTCAAAACCCATGAACTTCAAAGAGAAATGCCACCACAAGAAAAAAGATCATTACTGAGGATTACCACTAGAAAGAAAACCAATAGAGCCACAAAATTTCTTGTCTTTGCATCCCTTGCTCCAAAAAGTCAACCTTTTACTTTTGGTTGTGTTTTTCTATAAAATCCCCCAATTCTTGCTCCACTATCCACCCCTTCAAATCGCCGTCAAATAGCTCGTAAATGTACAACTGTGGAATCCCATCTTTTCCCAATAGCTTCAAGTCAAATTTTGTAGACAATTTTTGGTGGGAACAAAATTGAAAAAATAAAATTAGAATGAAAATTTTGGCTAATTAGAAGCATAATTGGATTGGAATGAAAATGACTTGTAGATGAATTTTTTTCACCAACAAAAGAGTGGATGGAAGACAAATGGACAAAAGTGATTAGAGGAACAATGAGTAGTACCAAATAAGCACTAAAAGGGTAAGATGGAATTTTTATGTTACTTAATACTAAAATTAAGAATAATTAATCATTTTCTTAATCCTAATGTAATAGATTGATACAACGTAATATAATGAAATAGAGACAGTAATATTTAATAATTTTATATATGATTAATTCTTTTTACTCAATATAATGTATAAATTAGTATGCATTTATTTTTTAATAAAAAAATAATAAATTCATTCATCATAATTTAGCAATTAAATTACTCCTTTCATTTCAAAATATAAAGTTGTTTAATTTTTTACATGTAATTTTAAGCAATACTTTTTTATAGTATATAAATAATAATTGAGATTTTTTTCTTTATATATATATAATTCTTATTAAGTAATTTCATTAAATCAAAAGAAATTTTCAATTATCATTTATATACTATATATGTAACATCTCGAATCTCATTTCAAGATGAAACTATGTGTGATTGATATATAAATGCAAAAATTAATTATTATAAATAATTTAAATCCATAACAAATTTTAACTTGAGTCATTTTACATTGTAAAAAAAATTACTTAAAAATAAGTTTTAAAAAAAAAGGGCCTTATATTTTAAAACTGGAGTATATGCGAGTAAGGGGAGTAGAGGCCGGTTGTTACTATGAGGCCAGAACAACTAAATGAGCTTAGTAGAGTTCAACATAAGCCCATCATCTAACAGCCCAAGCTCAATTCTCATATTAGAGGTTGTATCGACCCAAGCTCCAAGCAAAACAAGTTAATATTGGACAATTTTTGGCATCACTAATTCTCCTTTTTATATCATAATACCTTCTACATGTTTTTATTCTCAGTACACATGAAAGTAAGAAATTGTTACAAATAAAGAGTAGAAGAGACCCAATTCTTATTTCTCAAATTAGTGGTTCCATCTTAACCTGCTGCGCGTTCCCTGCATCCTCTTCAAGCTCGTTTATGGTAGTCGTTGAGACAACAGTTCCACCGCAGTAACCATCCATTAGCAGCTTTCCTATTTTTGACCTCCATTCCGAGCTGTCACTCTCATTCTTCCTGTCATGAACAACTCTATCCTGGTAGTTGAGCATTGTTCCCAAGCCAGTACCGGGGACCCAACCATACTCCATCAACACCTTAGCCTCACCTTCACTCAAGTCATCTCCAACCTGAATTTTTTTATGTTGGGGTCAGATTCAAGTCCATTTACCAGGAAACCCAACAACCATATAGTCATTCAAGAGGAATTGGATTCAGTGATTACCGAAAGTGGTTTGTTCTCAATTAATGTAATCCTGCCACAGCTAGTAAGCTTCATGGCAGTCACCAACCGCTTGACCTGCCACTCAATGGGTAAGGAATCTACCAGCTCAAAAAAGTATGTAGCAAAACCATATTCAGGACGTTCAACAACTATTCTGCATCCAAATGAAATTAACATGTCACATTTTCCAGTACAATAAATGGGGAACGCCAAGGATTTGAAAAAGAATTTGCCTTTATTCACCTATGATGTCTTTCAAAGACAAATATAAATGACTGCAAATCTCGGCACCAACCCCATTCAACAGGCCATTTACGAAACTGCAGATAGCGAGTCTGAAAATGGAAGAGGAGAAAATGCAGAAAGACAACACGAGTGAAGAGAACAAGTAATGACCCCCATTAAGAAGCTTATCATCAACATAGATTGAATATATTTATTTTGAGCAAACATATGTACAACATTAACCATATCAGAGAAGGCATCAAATAAGTCCTTTCACCTGCTCCACTAGAGAGAATAGACAAGCTACGCAATAACTAGGTCTTGATTCCTTTGGATATCGTATAGGAGCAAACTTCAGAGAGGAGCTGCGCTGAGTGAATAGCTGCTACATAATTATAAGAAGTTAATAGTTTATCCGAACCAAGTGAAAAAGAATTGCATAACACTAGTATCAAGCAGAAAAGGAAAAGTTGAAGAAAAATAAAATGAAGTGAGCATTACAGGTAATAAGAAGTGGAAGCCATTCTAATAACAAAATGGTTGTAACCTTTGTTATCACAGCTTCAAGCTCGGAAAAGCTTTCTTCACTAAATGATTCATCTAGGGCATCAGTGCTCTCCTCTCCGTATAGCTTAATTTCATCGACTGATACACCTTGGTCAACCAAAACCTGCAATTTAATGTTCTAATGAACCATTAACATATTGGAAGAACACTGAAAGATGAGACAGCAGCACAGTAAATAGGAAGACATAAAAGACCATAACCAGTCAAAATGTTCACAGAAATCAATATCTCACAACAAAGCAGAAAATAAAACACTTTGTACCTTTAAAAGTCCGGGTGCATCTTCTTCCAATGCAGTTTCAATTGAATCCCTGAAATTGATTTTGACAAACATGAGATACTTCAGAACACTAGGCCAAAAAAAAAAAAAAAAACCAATAACAACAACTTGATGTGTATCACTATAACTAAATGGCCAAAAAAGGATCCTACGTGGCAGTCTTCCTCCTCTTTCTAGGACGGCCAACCCTTTTTGGTTTGGCATATTCTGAAAACCCCGCACTATGGTCTAAGGCAGCAAACTCAGTTTTCCCCAAGCACTCATAACTAACCAAAATATTCATTTCTGAATTGTCAACTGATGTCGGCAGCTTCAACCTATCTTGCAATGGCACGTGATCTACATCAGATATATCCACTTCACTCTTCACTGCTCCCAAAGCCAAGTTATCAACTGTCTTCATGCTAGGATTTTGTAAGTCATTATTATCTGATGGTTCAACCTTAACTTTGACAGAGGCCTGTACAGTCAAACCATTAACGCTATTTCTCTCAGGTTGACATATCCTGCCACATTCTTCAACACCAGTTCCCAACTTATCTGCTTTTGTTCCCATGCAAAAACCAAGAATGGGTGATAATGGATTAGCTTTAGCCAATTGTCCACAAACAACACCAGGTGAAGAAACATGTGATAAAGTTTTACAAAAATCAGAAGCATTTCTTTCAGGGATGACATTAAGTTCATTTCTAGTCAACAAAGACTCACCATCAACTGACTGAAGCTCATCTTTCATTCTATCAGCAGACTGTTCCATACTTAATGCATCATTGGCAGAACTTCCGTAAAGCTCAGAGCCATTTCTTTCAGAAATTGCAACAATTTGATCCCTAGCTGCTGAGAGCTCTGACTCCCCATTATCAGACTGAGGCTCTTCTTTGATTCTCCTAGTAGACGTTCCTGTAAGATCTTCTGACAGGCTAACAGAATTACCCTGTTCGATATAGGTTATGCAACCACTTCTTTAAACAACAAACTAAAAACAGAAAATAGAAAAAAAAAAAAAAAATTCATATAAAGAAGACAGTTAGATTCATGAAGTAAATCACATAAATTAAGCATCACATCTGTTGCAAGAAGCATAATAGTTAATACCATACTAAATGCCACAATTCCCTAGTTCATATTACACTTCAAACAGAACCCTGTGGAAAGGAAGACTAATATTCATTTCTCTATCCAATATAATCATACTCGTTATGGAACAAACAGGGGCAATGCTTCCGAACTGAAAGAGGGGGATGATAAATTACCTCCAGAACTGGTTTTGCCGCTTCCAATAGTTTCCTGCAAAACCAAAATGCACTAAATACAGAGAAATACCTAAATTTGAGGGAAACGAAGATGTTTAAGGGAAAAGGAGGAAGAAAAAACACCTTTTTAGCAGCAATTTTTGTCTGTCTTTCAATACAACGTGATCAAGTTCATCGAATTCAAAGTCGGTAAGTTTATTTTCCTTGGCTTTAACTGCTGGAACAACCCCACCTGAAAAATCATTCATACCATTCCTTGGTGCACACAGCGACATGTCTTCGGCGCACTCAATCTTTACCATATCAGAAGGATTTGACGGCGGATGATTCTGGGGCACAGATAGAACATTGATATTTATCTTCTCCGAAGAAGAAGCAGAAACATCACCATTAGCTTCAGAACCAGCTAGACTCCCTCGGCTGCTGCAATTTATAGGCACACTGACATCGTGGCTACAAGAAGCATTGTTCGGAACCGGCATTTTAGGCTCCGGAGCGTCAAAACGGAAAAGAAGACACAAAGTAAATTAGACGAAATCTTGCCCTAAACGGAGTTCGTCATTCTTCCTCACCTTACTTTCATATCTTTATCCACAGAAATAAAGAAACACAAATTCTATCCATGATTATGCAGGTAGAGGATGAGGAAGAACAGAGAAGTGAAGTTTGGATTGAGTGAAAATGGGGAAGGAGGAAGAAGGACACCGGAAATTTTTTGTTTTAGGGATACCTGGAGAAGAAGAGTTCATCCTATTCAAAAGGAGGAATGGGATAATTATCCGTGGAAGAAGCCCAAGCCCGCGCAATTTGAAGTTTATGAGCACCCGGGCTTTTTTTTAACGTTTATTGGTTTTTCTTTTTTCTTTTGGGTTCAATTTAGTCTCTTATTTTTAGGCCTTTTCTGGGCTTTCCGATCGTCGCAATGTCATGGAAGGATTCATTATTATTATTATTATTTATTTTACAATGAAAGACAATAATTTTTTATTTTTTATCTTATTTTATCTCATTTCACTCGTATACTATGCGACTCGAATTCAAAATCTCTTATTTCTATTGAAAAAAAATTATCACTAAACAACTTAAGTTGTTGACCATTATTATCTAATTAAATAAATTAATCAATCAATAAATTAAAATGCAAACATATACCAAAAAAAATTAAAATTCAAATAAAAAATCAAATAATATAACTCTTTAAAAAATAATAATAATAATAAATTAGTCAAGTTGGTACTTGATTTTTTGTATGCAACAAGAAGCTTATAAAAATATTGGATTCACTTTAATGCAAGCACAAGGAACTGCATGATTTACTTGCTCAACCAGAATTAGCAAAGGCAAAAATAATTTGTTATTCTTAATCTCATAGTTGTATATGTAGTTCTTTTTTCTTCAAACTCTGAATCAACTATACAGCTCTCTTAGACATTTCTTGATTGCGCCATTTAGAAAACCCACAACCATTTTCCTGTAGACCACAATATAGAGTAAGTACACCTTGCACTGAGCAAATTTCCACTAAAATCAAGAGCTTCTCCATGGATGGAAAATAAGATGCAGGCTTACCCTTTTAGTTTCAACAGCCATAAGCATAACACCTCCTCCCTAGATTTAAAGCTCAATGAAGTCCATCTAGTAGTTGGGCAACCGTAGTAGATTAGTATTAGAAAATGCTTATAAAATTGTTGCTTTAAGAAACATAACATCATAAAAACAAATAGATTTCAGTCCATGAATATACCTTCAAAATTTCAAGCATTACACTAACATCATTCTTCAGGTAGATGTCAGCTCTCCTTTAAAATTGGAAGAAAAAAAAAAGAAAAAGTCAATGGATATTAGCTGGGTAAAACAGGAAGTAAACACTTCCTTACAAAAAAGAAGAAGAAGAACGGAATAGACTCAAGGAAATACAAATTACAGCTGCCAAATGCATCTTTATTGAGATGTGTGTATCTACCTCTAAGCCAAATGTTTCTTTTACAACTCCAGTGGCATGCCTATAACTTGTTCTAATTAGGAAAGAAGCATGTAATGCAAAGCCTTTAAGGTTTTGCAACTTTAATAAATTGCTTAATGTGTTATAGGGGAAAATAAATCTAGAATGAACACCAAACACCACATTCTTTTTGTTTCCATTTTTGGTGTTCCTTTTCCACCGATATGAAACCATTCCTATGATAATAAACATGGGTATTCAAAAATGTTGTAAGATTCCTGTAGGTGGTCTTAAAGGTTATTTGAAAATTTTGAATGCAACAAACTGCTTACTACATATGAGCAAACACCCTTTACATATGAGCAAACACCCTTTACACCCATAACCTGTAGTGACAACTCCAATAAAAAGGTCCAATCAGGGCTTTACAAGAGATATTTCACAGATCATCAAAGGAGATTAAAGAGGCAGGATATACTGATGCACCACCTAACGGCATTAGTCAAGCTTAGCTTAGAAATGACAAACCCCCCACAGGAAAACTGTTATTAGGTTTGTGATACACCACCCAAAAGTTTGGTCCTTTCATCTATCTGATAATAGATAAAAATAAAAAATAAAAAATGAAAAAAAAAATGAATGTGCAAAAGAGGTTACCTCCAGCATAGCTTTGGCTTCATTATCAAATGTTTTGCAAAGAATTTCATAACTTTTTTCAACTTCAGCCTGCACAGAAATGGTAGAAAAAACTTAAAACCGTTGTTTACACATAGAATTTTAAAACAAGGTAACCACCAGTAAATCCATACCAATGAGTTGACTCTTGATGGTGAAATGCTTGATATGGTGTACCTGCATAAATTGGTATTTACCTATTAGAGTCAGTTAATGAAGCAAAAGAATAACCAATTCTGAGGATATAAATCTGAAAATACAACCAACATGAGAGATTTGTAGTAAAACCAAACTACAGATTGTAAAAATCAAATTGTTTTCCTTCTCTGTGTGCATACTTCCAAGAGTCTTGTATCAATGTCATTAGAGATATGTGTAAGCCAAATGCAATACACACAATACGCAACCATGATATTGCTCCCCTCAATGAAATACATAAGTATTGCTCTTATCCACAAAATGATCATAACTATTTCATTAAGATCCCACAAAATATTTCCATATTTATTTGCTAGAATAAATTCTGGATACTGGTAAGTCATTATCAATTATCAAATATTTACCTCAGCTTGCTTGTGTAAAAATTCATAGCTGACAAGTTTGCTTTCTGAACAGTTAACACCACAGCACCCATATGATTCTGCAAAAAATATGAAAACACAAAATCAATCCCCCTAACTTAAAGCAGAAAAATGTGCACCCTAAAAGTCAAATTCAATTTAAGGTTAAAAATCACAAAGTGCAACGCAGAAGAACAAACTACGACACATTATTAGGGTAGGGAAAAAAAACTACACCTTTCTAGCAATAAGTTCAATCAACTGCATCAAGAACTTCCCAAGTCCTTTCCCTTGAACACGAGACTCAAGCTGAATTTCATACACATAGACCACAGGAATCTCCTCCTCAAGAGTAAAACGGTAGTGCACAAATCCCACCATGGGTCCCTTATCTTGACACTCATTTGCAACTACATTTGGAACCTCATGAACAAATATATAGCGCGCATCAGGAGAAACCATTTCCCTCCGTTTCACCTTCTCTTCCTCCGCCCACTCTGACCCAAACGGCCCCTCCATATTCACCTTAAAATTTATAAAGGGTCAGCCAAATTACTCACATTGGGAACATAAAATGGACATCAAACTAGAAATCTGTAACCTTGAGAAGGGTCTGAGTGTATTGTTTCACAGGAGGGGAGAGTTTATTCCCACGGCCAGACTCCAAGCATACAGAAAGGCCTAGTATTTAGATAAACATGAAAAAGATAGTAAATTTTCCTGAGAAAGAGACAGAAAATTGAAATTTCAGAGATGGGTAAGTAAAATTACCATCTCTATGAAAACGGCGGAATGGAGGGAAATCAGTGAGATGGTCACTGTGTGCGGAAGCTGCTTTGATGAGTTGGTCGATCGCCTTCTTCCTTTCCAGTATCTGTGCAACAACCCACAAATTCAACTGTGATCATAAAGTGTTTATGGTTTTCTTTTTCTTTTTCTTTTTTGAGGGAAACGAAATTAGGAATGTGTATGTGTACCTCTTTGCGTTTGAGCTTCTTCTCCCTGACGGACGCCATGGCTGCTGATGGTCGGAGCTGGAGGCGGATTGAGGCAGGAGCTGGCTTCGAGGTTGGCGCTTCCTTCGTCTCGTTTTTGGGTTCAGTACCATTTGGGCTTGGGTTCAACCTCAAATTGGGGGTTGCAGGCCTTAGCAGATTCTTTAAAAAAAAAAAAAAAAAAAATTGAAGGAGAATGATTATCCAATTATTTCCCATTTCCTGATAAAAAAAAATGGAATCAAATTTCAAAAACGTGTTTTCACTTGGGTGGTGGGGAGTTTTTATCTAATGACTTATTTTATGGTTTGGAGGGTAAAATATTAATTATAAAGGTATTTATTTATATATAAATTTTATATATTATGTTTATATAAAATTTT